GGAATACATATATATAAGTCAAAACCAAGATCAACTGTCAACACAAGACTCATCACTCTCAAGGATAACACGGGAACACATCCCAAACCACAAAGGTTAACCACACGCAAGGATAAAGACTCACCCAACGGCAACACATGCCACAACAACACATGCCTCCGTGACTACACACGTCACGAGAGAAGATCACACAACGCCGGCTTTACAAGCCCTCGCAACATCACCCATCACGAGTTGGTATGCCTTCCTTATGCCTTGTCCCAACCTTGTGGCTACCCCCAACCTTGTACCTTCTTTTCCAACCATTACCTCCAGGAACCCCTGTACTTCTTAGTCCAACCTTATTCCCCCGAGACCGTCGTCCCCCACCAACAACCACCAACGAACACCACCAATCATGGCAACACATACCCGGATAACACATGTTTTCCCCCAAAAACGTGGACCCATCACTCAGGCCACAACTCCATAATCACGTCACGGCCACCACGAGGATTGCTGCAATACCTTGGTGACCAGTGTCCCATACCACTAATCGTGCAATCCAGGTAGATCCACACACGCACCACCACTCACATGAGAGTTAAACAACGGATCACAACGAAGGTATGAAACATACTCAATTAAGGAACGGGTCACAGCCCAACGACAGCAACGATGAATAACACAAGTTATCATCAACCAAACGGAAGGTACAAACAACACACACACTAGCATTAAGACAACAAACTAGCATGCTTATCAATGGGGAAACTCAAGATAGTTCTGAGGAAAACACAAGACACCTCTTGGTTCGACGAAACACAATGTTAAACACTTAGCACGATACAAGACAACAAAGTCCAACATGGATACCTACCATATAGTTCTAGACATATGAAACATCAAGAAGACACTCAAATAGTTCTACAAAAGAATATTGGGAAGCCAAACGACCAAATACCGAGTCAAACAAATCACGGGGAACAAATCCTGATCCAACTCCACTCGTCTACCCGCGGGTAGTGCCCCACTCGTGGTTCCGCCCACGGGAACACTATCCCACAGGCTATGTACCCGCGGGTAGGCCGGCGAGTGGTGCCCCGCCCGCGGGAACATCCCTGTTCCACAATAAATCCCTTCGGGGATTTTCTTCTCCAAACACAAATTCAAGTCCAAAACATGCCAAATCTCACCAAACATAACAAAATCACTTGAACCATGGAAAATGCCAAGCAATGGCACAAAGGAACCCTAAACACAAGCTCTAGATATGCAATATCACAAGATAATTGCATAAACCCTCACATTTCATAGCAAAACACATGTAGAATCCAAGAAATCACATATAGGTAAGCAAAATAGGTTTTGTAGAGAATGGGTTACCTCTTGAAGACCAAAAGACTTCAGTTTACACCACAACAAGCTCTCCACAAGGCTTACTTTCCAAACCCACTTCAAGATCAAACCAAAAGATCATAAAGATCCTACCTTTAAGAAAAAGACAACCAAGATGGAACCAAACCCGAAGGGATTATTTTTGGAGTACATGTGTACCGCGGGCGGTGCTCCCCCCGCCGCCCCACCTGCGGGGTATGAGTGTTGTGGGCATTGGTACCCGCGGGCAGAACCACGGGTGGAGGTCCACCCGTGTCCCACCCGTGGGGAACATGGATGATGATGGTCCGGGATTTGTTCCCCGTGATTCTTTTGACCTCTTGATGTTGTTTGATTGGGCTATTCGTGAGTTTTCTTGATGTTTCGTATGTCTAGAACGTTATGTTAGGAATCCATGTAGGATTTGGTGTCTTAAATCGTGCTTGTGATCCAACTTTGTGATTCGTTGGATTGATGTTGAGTCTTGTATGTTCTATGGAACTACTTTTGGTTTACCCGTATGATAAGCATGCAAGTTTGATGTTGAAATGCTAGTGTGTGCCGTTTGTTCTTTCCTATTGAGATTGGCAACTTGTGTTGACCATCGTTTGGTGTCAGAATGTGATCCTTCGTTGTTGAGTATGGTTTCATATCTATGTTGTGATCCATTGATTGATTCCTATGATGTGAACGTGTGTAATTGTTGTACCAAGATTGATGCATGATTAAGGTTTATGGGGCCTTAGTCTTCTTGGTACTGATGCGGTCCTTGTGTGGCCATGATTGAAATTTATAGTGTGACCTGAGCGTAGGCTCATATGTAGGTGGTTGTGTGACACCCCGTAATCCAAATTCAATTAAGAGATTAATTAAGTAATTAATCCTAATCCAATTGCTAATTTAATTCCTTAAATTCCTGAAAATTCAATAGTCGGGGACTAGTAATTGACTAGTTAACCCAAAGTCAAAGTTGTACCAAAAGCCTTGTGAGTTGTTCCCTTGTCCCCTTACACATTTCATCTTAGTAAGGGTAAATGAGACATTTCCTTGACAATAGTCTTTCAAGCTAACCTAGGAAGACACATTTCATTTCTTCAAACACTCTCCAAGAGAAAAATCATTAAGCTCTCTCTCTTCTCTCTAAAAACTAGTTAGCTTTCTCTCCAAGCCACACCTAGGGCTACCAAGATCTTTCAAGTTTGCTTTCAAGATTCTACCTTTCATACTTTTGAGCATCTAGGAGGGTAAGATCTAAGCTCCTCTTGTGTTTTTAGTGTTTTCTAAGGTATCTTTTTATAAAGGTGAAATCTTTATGTTGTTTTGGTGTGTTCTTCAAGTGGGTGTGGAAAGGGAACATTGTTGGGAGCCTTGTGGAGTGTTGTAAGTGAAGGATAAATCTTCAAGAGGTAACACATGCTCTACAAAATTTATTTTGCTTACCTATATGATGATTTCTTGGATTCTACATGTGTTTTGCTATTAAATGTGACTGTTTATGCATTGTCTTGTGAAAATGCATATCTAGAGCTTGTTATTAGGGTTCTTGTATGCAATTGCTTGGCTATTCCTTTGATTCATGTCATTTTGTTGTATTTGGTGAGATTTGGCATGTTTTGGACTTGAATTTGAGCTTGGTGTTGAAAATCCCCGAAGGGATTATTTTGGTGTATAGGCATGTATCTGCAGGCGGAACAGCGGGCAGTGGCCTTCCCGCCGCCCCACCCGCGCGGTACAAGGTGGATTGGCGTAGTGTTCCCGCGGCGGAACCACCGGTGGGGGTCCACCCGTGGGCCCACCCGCGGGGTACATATGTTGGTTGTGCGGGGATTTATTCCCCGTGATTCTTTTGACTCCGTATTTGGTCTTTTGACTACTCGATTTTCTTTTGTGGAACTATTTGAGTGTCTTCTTGATGTTTCGTATGTCAAGAACTATATGGTTGGGTTCTATGTAGGTTTTGGTGTCCTAAATCGTTCTAAGTGTTCAACCTTATGATTCGTTGAACCATGATGAGTCTTGTGTGTTCTTTGGAACTAAGTTTGGTTTTCCTGTTTGATAAACATGCTTGTTCGTTGTTTAAATGCTAGCATGTGTGTTGTTTGTACTTTCCTATTGTTGATGATGACTTGTTTTAATCATCGTCGTTGTTGGATTGTGATCCATTTCCTTGATTGAGTATGGTTTCATATCTTCGTTGTGATCCGTTGATTGATTCCTGTTGTGGTGTGGTGTGTGTGGCTGTACCTGGATTGCACGATTAGTGGTATGGGACACTAGTCAACAAGGTACGATAGTGGTCCTCGTGGTGGCCATGACGTGATTTTGGAGTTTGTGACCTGTGTGTCGGGTTCACGTATTTCTTGGGAGGCATGTGTTTCCAAGGCATGTGTTGTCATGTGCGTGATCGGTACACTCGTGTACTATGAATTGGTGGTTTTGTTGGCAGTTTATCGGCGGATGGGGACGACGGTCCTCGAAGGGAAAAGGTTGGACTTGGTATACAGGGGTCCTGGAGGTAATGGTTGGAACTAGACATAAGGTTGGGGGTAGCCATAAGGTTGAAAACGAGCATAAGGAAGGCATCTCAATTCGTTATGGGTGATGTCACGAAGGCTTGTGTAGCCGTTGTTGCGTGTTTCTCTATTTTGTGACGTGTGATGTCACAACGACATGTGTTGCCAATGGGTGTGTCCCTATTCTCTTGTGTTATGCATTTCGGGTGATAATCTACTGTGTGATGGTAGATTATACCTTGAGCTATTCTTGTGAGTCGTTATTGCTTCTTATCGTATTGGGATGTGTTCCCTTATCTTTGGAGAGTGCATTGAGTCTTGTGTTGATCTCTATCTACATATGATATTTCACATGTATTGGTGGGTTACCAGCATCATTCGCTGACTGGGCGTCGTCCCTTATTTTATGTGTTTCTTTCAGGTGATGAGTAGACGAGAGCGCGGTCTAGAACCTGTTAGCTTAGATCCCTTTGTTTTGAGATGTTGTGGCCTGTGTGCCAATGTTAGACATTAGTACTCTTGTTTTGTATGGATTTAGATTGGGGATTATGCAGATGTTTCGCCTGTGGGTTCACCTTTCGGTGGGCTTGGCATAACACCCTATATTTCCTATTTATATAATCCTTGTTTAGTCTTCCGCTGAGTATGATGTTTTGGCTAGTTATCTCCATTTTTAAGGTTTAATGTAGCATGGAAATTAGGGGGTGTTACAATTGGTATCAGAGCCTAGGTTTGAGCCTAGGAAGGAAGAGTCTAGACTTCTAAGTGGATAGGTGTTGTTTGAGACCTTAAGGTGACCATAAGAATCTAAGTGTTTAAGCTCAGGATTTCTTAGGATGCGCGGTGAGCTGAGCGTTGTTTACCATTGCTTGCTTGTTTGTTGCCTTGTTAGTAATCGTGTTGTTGTTGTAGAAGCTTGCGATGCCTCCTCGTCCTTGTGCGCATACGCTGGAGACCCCGATGAATGAGCAGCTTGCCCAGAACCTTCAGCAGTTGACGCAGACGATGCAGCACGACCATCCCGTGCCACCTCCTCAACCTGCCGGGCATAGGGACGTGGGGCGTCTCGTGTCGGGTCACAGGCCACCGACCTTTGCGGGTGAGGAAGACCCGGTCATCTTGGAAGAGCGGATGAAGACGTTTGACAAGATCTTCTCGGTTGTCAGTTGTCCAGAAGAGCTAAGAGTAGAGCTTGCAACGTTCTACTTCTGCCTTGAGGCCGATCTGTGGTGGATGCATGAGGGCCCAGCTTGCCTTGAGGAACCTGAGTTTGTTTGGACCGCTCTCAAGGATCGGATGCGCGAGAGGTTTTATCCGGCGTATGTTAGGGCTGAAATGTATGAGGAATTCCTCCATCTCCAGCAAGGATCCCTATCGGTGGTTGAGTACCACAAGAAGTTTCTAGAGCTTGCGCGTTTTGCCCGGATGCTTGTGCCTACGGAGCTCGCCAAGGTTGAGAAGTGTGTAGCTGGCTTGAAGTACGAGGCACGGAAGGCCCTAACCGTGAGTAGGCCGAGTTCTTTGATGGAAGCATACCTGAGTGCTGCAGATCTTTACCGTGTTCAGCAGCTACAGCGAGGATACTATGAGCTTGCAAGGAAAAGAACCGAGAGTGGAGGCTCTTCCAGTTTCAAGAAGCCTAGGCCGAGTTTTCAAGCTAAGAATGCGTCATCTCCAACCCAAGGACCCAACCGAGCAGAGCATGGAAATCAAGTCAATATGTTTCCTTGCCGTAGATGTGGAAAAGTGCATGCGGGTCAGGATTGTAATGGCCAAGCGTTTCAGTGCTACCGTTGCCGGGATAGGGGTCACAAGGTCGCCGAGTGCCCTCAGCAAGCCAACCAAATGGTGTTGCCACCACCCCTAGGAGCCGGAGGAGCAGCTGGGTCTAGGTTGTCAGGAAGGGTGTTCGTGATGGGACGGTCGCAGGCAGAGACCGATGGCTTGGTGGAGGAAGAGCTAGCAGGTAACCTTTTTCTAGCCTACTCTTGTCTTCAGTACGCATCTTGTTCTTTGTGTCGTCGTGTGTTGCCTTGTTTTCCTTGATTATTTGTTGGAGTCATTTCGTTGTCCTTGTTATGTTTTCCCTCTTTGGTGAATGATTCGTTTGGACCTAAGTGTAAGCCCTTCTTGATGATTGATCCTTTTAGTTGGAAGTGAAAGCATTTGGTAGGGATAGTTGTTCACCCCTAAGATGAGTCATGCTTGGATTAAGCCCACAATTGTTGCACATGTACAAATTGTAACCTTTCCTTCTTGCGAGCTAGTTAAAATTCTCCAAGCAATTCTTTGAATTTGGAATAGAAAATCCATAAAATCCTTTCTTGTGAAGCCTTAAAAGACAAATAGATTTTTATTTGTAAACCTTCAATTTCAAACCCAGGTGTATCACTTGTCAACCCAACCCTCTAACCACTTAAGCTAATTAAGTTTCTTGAAACTTACCCAATTTTATTTCCATCTTAACCATAAATTCTCACTTTACCCAAATCCCCAAATTAAATCATATTTTTCCAAATTTCTTCCCCAAATACCTAACCCCCAAATTCTTCTTCTCTTTCTTTCCTCCTTCTCCCTACTCGTGGCCAGCCGAGAAGCATCCCCTCCCCACCCCCGTCGTTCTGCCCCCGTCGCCGACCAGCCGCCACCTGCCGTCGTTGATCAGTCGTCGGTGTCTGTAACACCCCGTGTTACGGCCCCTAAAACCAATTAATTAATTAACCCACAGCCCAAGAGAAAGAATAAATTATAATAATTAATTAGGGAAAAGGCCCACCATAGTCCATGGGCCCTCATCCCTAAACCCAACCCCTAGTCCTAAAAGGATTAGACCCTAAATAAGACCCTTAGATATATAAATAGGGAACCTAGAAGGCACCTAGAACTCCCACAAGAATAACGCCCCACCACCCCAAAAGAGCTCCAAGAATCCCCTTAGAAGAAATCAAGAAAGCAAGAAAGCTTAAAGAAAGACCCTTCATAGCCAAGGAATTAATTAAGGCTAAGAGGTAACCCATGTCTCAACAAAACCTATTTTCATAGCTATGATTTCCCCCGTAGGATTCGCCCATATTATTGTGTATTGATGATTTGTGATATTATTATTGATGATTGATGGGATAATTCCATGGGTGATCTTGATATTGGGAGATTCTTGATAATTATGGTGTTCTTGATGATTATGTGGAGTTCTTGATGTTTATATGTTCTTGATAATTGTATGGCATTCTTGATGCTTATGTGATATTCTTACCGAATCTTGTAATTAGAAGACGAATCGTATTCATGTTGGTATAAAAGTGATTAGAACCCTAGGTTGTATCGTATGATATTATTCTTGGTGTATCAGGTGGGAAATCGCATGTTTGGGTGTCGATTATGTTTAGAAAAGCATGATAGGTTCTGTGCCGTACGTTTCTCGTATTTGATCCGTTAATTGTCTACGTGTTGATCGTTAATTGCGTTGTAAAGTGTCTAAGCATGGTTTCGGGTTCCACAATGGTTCCCGGGGCGTTTGTGTATAAAGAGTCAGTGGGGGGTAGGGGACCCGCCACCTACCCGCGGCCAGAAGGGACGTCTCTGGCAGCGGGCAGCCGGCAGGCGGGCGGCTGCCCACCGGCGACCCGCTGCCCGGAACAGTGCTTACCGGCGGGCAGCCGGCGGGTGGCCCCCCACCCATCGGCTACCCGCTGGAAATCTCCCCCATTCGGGACCCCGGCTTCCCCGTTTGATGTTTCCCCGATCCCCGTGGTGCCCCAACGGACTCCGTTCATCGTGCCGTGTCTAGTTTGATGTTTCGGGTACCGTTCGTAGGTTTATGAGTCTTATATATTGCATGCTAGTTGAATTGGTATCCCGTTGACCTAGGTGGAAGAAGTATGAACCCCTTAGGACCATTCTTAGTATGTGAAGGATCACGCATAGGTTTTGTTATACACTTTCTCCCCTTCCCAATGTGTTAATGTGGGTTGCATGTGCTTGCTATGTGTTATGTGTGCATGACACCCCAATTCGGTTGCGATCGGATTGGTTATTCCTGAGCTGCGGTTCAGAAGCTGGCTGCGTTCAGATTTACACTCTTGGGCTGCGGTCCACCGTTTGGTTGCGATCAAACGTTTCTACATGAGCTGTGGTTCATATTTCCTGGCTGCGGTCAGATGACATTCTCTTGGGCTGCAGTCCACTGTTTGGTTGCGATCAAACATTATGATGAGCTGCAGTTCATCGGTCGGTTGCGATCGACCCCTCCGTGTTGCGATACGGGGCAGGGTGCTGCAGGGCCATGTCAGAGCTATATGCGCTGACCCTCATGTATGGGCATGCGATTGGTCCTGTGGCGCCAACAAAGTGTGCTATGTGATGAGATATGGATGAGTTGTGATTATGAGTATCTTGGGGGATGTGACTATGGGATTTATGCTGGGGATTGTTTATGTTGGGTTATGATTATTAATTGTGCTCAGCTTTATCTGTCTTGCCTGTTGTGGATTGTATACGCTTGTTATAACTGTTGCTTGTGTCTAGCCTTATCTGTCGAGTCATTCCCGGTTTTAAAAGCTAGAGTTCGTAGAATATATTTTCATGCTCAAAATTGTTTTCATATATCTATATATATATATCTCTATATGTATTGTATTTCAACGCGTTGGAGTGGGTTACCAGCATCTCTCGCTGAACAGATATATTTGGCTTTCAGGCACAGAAGAATAAGTCACTGGAGCGCGCTAGAAATTGGAGCGTAGAAGTAGATAGTTTCCCTTTTGGCCTGCGTGCCATGCTTATGCATTTACATTATCAAGGATATTAGTTAGTTAGCCTGTGCATCTGAGTTCTCTGGCTCAGGTGTGGCATAGCACCCCGTACTCTTGTATTACGTTTTGGGATTTAATGAGATTCCACCTTTATTTTATAAGTTTTAAATGTCTTGAAATTTCGGGGTGTTACAGTTGGTATCAGAGCCTAAGATTGACCCTAGGATAAGACTCTTAAAACCGGACTTTAGGACATTGGGCTTGAACTCTAGGTATTTAGGAACATAGGACGCGGGAATTTTAGGACGCGCGGTGAGATTGTGAAACCTACACATAAACCCCTTCACTTCATCCCTTCCTTGTCTAAAAAAAACCTTCCTCCGCTTATCACGTCAAAGAAAGATGCCAAGCTCTAATTTAATGTTCTTATAAAACATTGACTCAGAAAAAACGACAGCATGGCACCCAACAGAAGACAATCAAGGACTCCGGAACCCACCACACACGACCCCCTGACCCAAACACTGCAACAACTAACGCAAGTCGCCCAGGCACTAAGCGACGTAGCTCTTCGCAACAACAGGCCCCTGCCTCCTCCATCAAACGCGAACTCAGACGTCGCCCGACAAGTTTCAAACCATCGACCGCCCACATTCTCAGGAGAAGAGGACCCCGTGATCCTGGAGGAATGGATCCGGACCCTCGAAAAGATACTTGGGTTAGTGGAATGCCCAGAAGAACGTCGTGTAGAGATAGCCTCGTTCTACTTCGGACACGAGGCCGACCTTTGGTGGATCCACAAGGGTCCCGCTTACCAACAGGAACCAGGGTTCAACTGGGAAAACCTCAAAACACGACTACGAGAACGATTAGCATCCACGTACGAAGAGTTCCTCCATCTGAAACAAGGGACAGCCACCGTCATGGAATACCACAAGCGATTCCTCGAACTGGCGCGCTTCGCACCAGAGCAAGTCCCCACCGAAGTAACTAAGATAGAAAGATTCGTCTCGGGCCTCAACTTCGAAGCCCGAAAAGCACTAGTGGTAAGCCGACCTCGAACTCTCAACGAGGCTTACTCCAGTGCCGCCAATCTCTATCGAATCCAACTACTCCAGCGCGGGGTTCAGGAACAGATACGAAAAAGGAATACCGGAGGGGGAGCACCACCGGTAAAAAAAAGGACAAGGAGCGACACCAACACAAGACCAAGCAACCTGACCAACCAAAGACCGTCCCTAGGGAACAATGAAGTAAACCCAAGGAGCTTCCCTTGCCCAAAATGCAACAAAAGCCATAGAGGGAAAGATTGCATGGGCAATCCCTGGCGATGCTTCAACTACGGAGAAGAAGGGCACAAGGCCTTCCAGTGCGTTCAACCCCAAAGGCCACGCCTCACCACCATAGGTCAACACGGAGGCACCACCCACCAAGGGAACTACGGCGCTCCCGGGAAAATATTCGTCATGAGCCGCACTCAAGCCGACCTCGGGAACGAGAGCAACCTCGAGGAGGGGAACCTAACCCCAAAAGACGAGGATCACACAAACCCCGCAAGAGAAAATCAAGAAGACGAATTCTGTCTAGGATAAACTGGCAATTCCTTGTAATCACCTTCATAGTAAAAACTACTTATTTAGCGATTACTTCGGAATTTTATAAATAAAAGATTCGATTAAAATTCGATCCTGCTTCTAAAGACGAAACCACAAACTATATCACCAACCCAACCCTTCCCCCACTAAAGGACAAAATAAGGAAAACGACAATGACCACACCATCAATAAATATTTAATGTTACCATTAGGAATGGAACCTTGGACCTCTCCTCTACAAGTAAAAACCCTAACCACTAGCCCATGAGTGTTTCTTGAAACCACAAGGGAACACCCCCTTGTTAAACCCCTCCAAATCCCTAAAATCCACAAAACCCCCAAATCAAAAACCCTTCTCCTTCTTCTTCTTCCTCCTCCTCTCCTTCCCCATTCCTTCCCTTTTTCCCCCTCTCACGCACACCACCACCCCCTACCCGGAAAACCGCCGACCACTCACGTCACCACCAACCGGACGCCGTCGCCACCCGGCCACTCCCCGACGACCTCGCGCCGCCGCACCGCCGTCCAAACTGCTCCGTCGGAGATCACCCGCAGCACCAAAGACGCCGCCCACCATCCACCCGAACTCCGCCCGCTGCCATCGACGCCCCACGCCACCGAAGACCTCCACCGCCTCGCCGAGCAGCCGTCGAGCTCCGCCCCACCGTCGCCACCTCGCAGCAGCTCAAATCACCGCCAGAAAAGAGACCCGCCGGAGACCCGCCGGAAAAGCGCCACCTATCGCGATGCCGAAGAAACCCCTCGGAATCCGCACCCCGGAGTGGAGCAATGCCGATTACACCGTAATCGGAGGTAAAGCACTTGAACCCGACCAATTCTCTCCGGAATTGGTTGATATGCTTAAACATCAAGGGCTCTTAGATACTTACCTCGCCATCAAAGGGGATACATACCCCGACTTGGTGAAAGAATTCTACCAACACCTTGTGGCCACCAAACGGGGTGACAAAGTAGAAATCACCACCAAGGTCCGTGGCAAGGAAATTGTGCTTTCCGAAGGCCGTTTGGCCAAGCTCTTGAAATTGACCACCACGGGTGTGTCCAA